CTCTACGTCACTAAACCGTTAGCTATCAGGATCGACGCTAAGCTAAGCGAAAATATAATGAAGGCACATTTTCTTAACGGAGAACGGTTTTAACCAAACAATAAACATAACGTTTGGGAAACATGCAAAAGCACAGCTACTCTACTCACCGCCACATGCGTTCGCAGGTTTGACGTGGAAGTTTCGAAAAGGACAGCTCCGTCACCCGGGGCAGGCACGTCGGGTCGCATGATAAAGTCATTCACTCGTTTACATTTGAAAACGAAGAGCTGGCAGAGATCTGGTTCAAGGAGTTATCTTCTGAGTTATCTTCTGCTCTACGGTCTTTGCTAAGATCTCTGCTTAGCAATGGTCAACTTCCGGTTGAGTTATCTTCTGCTCTACGGTCTCTGCTTAGCAATGGTCAACTTCCGGCATCAGCCATCATACAATGACAGGCTGGAGTCCATCTCTTAACCTCTTTTTTTTTCCTCAAGGTTCCATACAGTGAGCTGGGAGGGAAGACTCTGGTGATGACTGTCTACGATTTTGACCGTTTCTCGAAACACGACGCCATTGGAGCTGTGAAAATACCCATGAGCAGCGTGGACTTCAGCCAGTCTTTACAGGAGTGGAGAGACCTGCAGAAGGCAGAGAAGGAGGAGGTTTGAGCGTGACAGGGGTCAGGGTCACATGATATCAGGCAGGACTTCCATGAGCTAACTTTTATCTTCTGCTTTACCTTTCTGCTGTGACAGAGTGAGCGGTTGGGAGATGTTTGTTTGTCCCTGAGGTTCGTGCCCACTGCAGGGAAGCTGACTGTGGTGGTTCTGGAGGCCAAAAACCTGAAGAAGATGGATGTGGGCGGACTATCGGGTGAGTAGCTGAGGAGAATTCTAGATTCAGATGGGGTTAAATGTGATTGGTCAAATACTCTACTGTGTGATGCTGTGACGACTCCCTGTTCACTCCCTCAGACCCGTACGTGAAGATCCACTTAATGCAGAACGGGAAACGACTGAAAAAGAAGAAAACAACGATAAAGAAAAACACTCTGAACCCGTACTACAACGAGTCTTTCAGCTTCGAGGTGTCGTGTGAACAGATAGATGTGAGTTAGTGGGTTAGTTAGTGAGAGCCAACTAATGCTAAACCGGGCAAAGAACGGTCAAGGTTTTTCATTATTGTTGTTTTTTTTTTTATCTTCAGAAAGTGCAGCTCGCAATAACTGTGTTGGACTACGATAAAATTGGGAAGAACGACGCCATCGGGAAACTACTGCTGGGCAGCAATAGTACTGGAACTGAACAGCGTCACTGGTCAGACATGTTGGCCAACCCCCGCCGACCTGTGGCCCAGTGGCACAGCCTTAAATCCGAGGAGGAAGTTAATGCACTAATTACTAAAAATAAATGAAAGCTTGGCGTTGAACCTGTCACAGCATTGAGCTCAGCTACTCTGTTTATGTGTGTTTATCTGCCCAGTGTAACATTCATGTACTCAGTATATACTGTGATTACTATATATACACAACACAACCTCTGCATCAGCGTAAAATTTTTATAATGGCTCTTGATGTTATAGTTGTATTATATAAAAATATAAATAATATAATATAATATAAATAAATTGTGAATAATTGACGAAAAAATGTAAAACTAAAGTATATGATAACTTGAATACAAGTCAATGTAGAAACACAGCATATTTAAAGGTATATAATTTTATGTAGCAAAGATGTCATGTACCAACACATGTTAATAAATTGTAAAGCTGTTCAGTGAAAAGTAAGTCGTAAAAGTCTGTGACTTCGTTTCTTCTTTAACTCAATAACCAGTGGAATCGTGTTGGCCAGAAAAATCACTTTACGTTTGTCTTTCCGTCATTTCCGTACGTATCGTGAACGCATCAGCAAGGTTGACGTCACGGGCGGTCTCTCTGATGTCTGTAACGGTCGGGGTTTTTCGCGCTACGACGACTCTTTGATGAACGTCGTTGTCCAGGTAAAAACGCGCTGTGCAAAAAGCGATTCAAATCGAACTCAAATCGAATCGATTTGTAGTTTGTGCCGTGAAACTGACAGCTGTCACTAAAGACGGGTCGAGAGGTAAGGGGGAGGAGTTAACGGAACTGTCCGCTCAACTTTGATCTAACGTAACGTTTAACTTAACGCTTTAACGCTGTTAACTGAACGAACTCAGACCAAGACCGCTGTGATGAACAGATTAATCGATATCGAATATGTATCGTCAATCAGAAAAAAATCTAATTTTTAAATCTCTACACGTTTTGTTCGCGCAGTTAGAATGTGACGCGTTTACGTCGCATAACAATGCTCACCCTCTTACACCAAAGTCCACAGAAAAAAATAGTTATTTTAGCTCACAGGAAAACAACAGTTGTTGATCCACAGCTGCCTCCATCACTAAGTCTAAATGCTTTAATTTGAAACTTCACTGTATGCTTTTTTTTTTTTTTTTTTTACCTTTAGCCACCTGAACTCACCACAGAAGACAGCACTGGACCAGCGGCTGCTGGGTCACTGTGACCTCAAATCAATCATTTTCTCTATGGACTTTGGTGTGGGAGAGTGCGTGGTCTATGAACCTTATTTTCCTGATGTTAAAGTCTGCCTCACAGCAGGACCAGGATGCAAACAAGTTCTGAAAGATGTGACCGAGTGCTGATTTTATTCAATTAATTAAAGGTGTTGCTTAAGTAGATTTAATGGATTCATACCAAACAGTTCCCGTTTTCTTCTTCTTGGGTCCAGACGGATGAGTGGCTGCGGGGAGGAGGACGCAGAGATGGAGGAAGTGAAGTTCCTCTCCTGGAACTCGTCAGGCAAAATATCTGGACAACGAAAGAACAAAAAACACAAGAAAAACATGGTCAGTCAAAAGGTTGAAGAGAAAAAGAAGAAAGTGAAGAAAAAAGGTGGACTAGAAGAAGGAACATCTGAAAGAACAAAGAAGAAGAACAAAAAGAAAAAGAACAAAAAGGGAATGGACGACCACTTCCTCCTTGTACAGTCAGAAAACCTGGAATGTGCTCAGAGCAAGGATGGAGCTCAGAATCCAAGTCATGTGACCAGAGTCTCCAAGAAGAAACCCCAAAAGAAGAAGGTCACCTTTAGTTTGCCCAAAGATTTCATCTGCGCCAAACATCCGCAGTTTACGTCGACATCGCCGAAGAAAGACGTGGATGTGGGAAACAGTGAGGTTGTGGGTCAGGAGGATTCTCCGGCGTGCAGTGAGGACTTTAACAGTCAGGATCTCTTCATCACACAGAAGACGTTCAGGACATCCCCAGAGCTGGAGTCTCCTGAAGGTCCAGAAGAATCAGATGAACTGCTGCAGCTCGGGGGTCTACACAAAACATCTAAAGAACAGGAGCACAAAAGCAGGAGATCTAAGGTCAAACACACAGTTCAGAAGCTCAAGTCCAGCATGAAGCTGGAGGATGACAGACCAGTGAGTTACCTCAAGTCCAGCAGCGCCTTTCCGCAGGCTTGGTCCTCTTCTTCGGATCCACCACCGGACCAACGTCGTAGAATGAACTCCTCCACACAGACAGAGAACTTCTTCACCACTGAACTCTCCTCCTATCATCGCTTCTGCCAAGAACGAGCAGATAGGTCACGTCTTCAGAGCTGCAGAGCTCTGGACCTGCGACTGTCGCACAGAGCCAGGAACCAGCACAAACACCAGAACATGTCCTCCCCGTCGCCGACGTCCTTCAACCAAAAGGAAATGAAGAATGAGCAGCAGGAGCTAGAGCTAGAGCTAAGTCAATATCCATGTCTGCAATCGGTGTTCGAATCCAAAACTGTGGACACCTCCACGTCCAGTGAGGACAGCGCTGCAAAATTGGACCTGACCCAGGTGAGCCTACGAAAAACCTTTCAAACTGTTCATGGTCTGTTATTTTATAAGCTGCTCTGAATCAGATTTACAGATTTGTTCTGGGTGCGCCCCCATGTGGTAAGATATCGTATCGATATTCTAACATGATGTCAAGATGAAACAGCAGTGTTTACTATGATGACAGTTTTACTACAATTAAATTGTTTAACAGAAAAATCCCTCAATATATCGCCATGACTATAGTATTGCAATATATCGCAGTATTTTGTATCGTTTGTCAAGAGTTAGCTAAACCCTAGCTACTGTGTTGTAATGTTAACACAGCTACATGTTGTCTTAAAGTGAATCAACCGGGATCTGAATGAGTTCGAATTCAATAAATGGACAAAGATTTTCCAAACTTGGTTAAATCTTGGTGTGGTCTTGTCCAGGTGCACTTGGTCCAGACGAGACTGAACGAGTCTTTCTTCTTCAGGAACAAAGCAGAACCAATGATGGACAGACCCGAGTCTCCTCTTATGAAACAGCCTCTGGTACCAAACCTAAAGAGTAGGAAGAGACACTGAGACAAAGGTGTGGACTGAGGTGAAGGACCAGGAGATGTTGAACACATGAAACACTGAAGCTCCTGGACTCATCTCACTATGGACCTCACTAGGACCTGATGTGAAACCTCAGTCGGTCATACTGGAATAAGACTGAAAAACCATTTCATGGTGGACAGCTCACAGGAAGTGACACTCTAGCCTTTAGTTGTGATATTTTTTTCACTGTGGTGGAAGAAAAAAATCTGTTCAGAACATGTTTCCGTTATTCACAGTTGGTAAATTAACTTTACATATCTCTCACTGTCACACCCTACAGGCCACAGAGAAAATCTGTGACTTCATAGGCAAAGGCGCTGCTGGTCCTCTGCTGCCACCTGTGGTCAGTTTGTATTACTGCGGTAAACCTGAACAAAAGATTTCAAACAGTTAAGTCACAAATTAGCACATTGGAGTCACGGAGGCTGCAGTGGCTCAACAACTGTAACCGTACAGACTGATGTCAAGTCAACTTTGGACATTTACGATAAACTTGTAACTAAATTTAAACCAACTTTCAACGTGTCCTTTAAATACCGATTCCCTTTGACTGTTGCCGTGACAAACCTAAACTTAACTTTGGCCAAGGTCAAAGTTAAGTAGTTGCACGTTTGTTTTGTTTCGTTTGTCATTTTGAATCTGTGTATTTCCGAGCACAGACTGGTTCAGACTGGTTTAAAATGTTTTCCTAAAATAAAGACAGATAATGTTGTCATCGTGCCTACAGGTTGCAAAAGTCTGTCTGACCAGCAGGAGCAGGTTTCTATTACAGCGCCACCTATGGAAAACCTAGCTAAGTGCACATCCTGCCATGGGTGTTTTTGAGGAGTTGCCTGTTTTTGGTTAGACCTGATGATGTCACACTTCCTGTATCCTGCTGTCTACACAAAGAGAAGGAAAAAACAAAGACCTGACACTTTTGTTTATTTTGTTCTACATAAAACCCAGCATAGTCCAGAATTTTTTAGTTCAGAATGAACACTGACACAGCTACAGTCACATGACCAGGCAGAAAGTGAACAAGTCCTCAGTAGGTTTTCAGATCTAGTCCTTTAACCTGGGTCTAGTTGTGTCTGAAGAGCTTGATTCCCATCCAACTCCACAAGTGGAAGAAGACATAGACTGGCAGTGTAACGGGCAGCAGCAGGCTATAGAAGCAGACGCTGCGACCATCACTGCAGCCCGCCGGAAAGTTCTGGTCTACAGCTGCCGAATACAAGAGACCACAGAGGGACAGGAGCGGGACCAGGCCCACCATCAGGGACAGAGATGGCATGGTTTGTGATTGTGATGACGTCAGACTCGTAACCCGGCACCTCTACTGCTGTGGGACATCAGCCTCTTGGTCCTTCTGGACCAGCCTGGCGTCCTGGGGAATCATGTTTGGGATTCCATCAATGACAGGATAGGCGATGCCAAGCTCGTCGTTTATCAACTCACTGGTCTCAGAGTTGTATCTGTGAAAACAGACCCAAGGGAAGACTATCAGAGGTTTTCTTTAAGTATGGCAAAAATAATATAACACAAAGTTTTACTGAAACAAATTACATATAAAAACCTGAATAAGATTTAGTTAACTGTCATGAAAGCTGATAAGACAACCACTAAATCAATAAATAAAGCATTTGTTTGTTTCGAAGAGTTAATAACATATGGCGTTGGTCCCGAGTCCGTAGTTAAACTGACAACACCAGCAGCTTATCAATAAATAACATGTAGTATGAAATTAAGTTTAAAATTTCATATTCGCTTCAGGAAGTGCTTTTCCTGCCATATTGGCTCCAGTGTGTGTATAAGTGTATCCGCCATGTTGGCTCTGTTTTCAGCTTTGCTTACCTGAGCGCTTTCTTGGACAGCGGACACACCAGGACACGCAACAAATGCGGGTCAAACGGTGGTTGTTCTTCGTCCCTCCCGTTTGTGAGACCACGTACGAATCCACAAGATAGTTGTTGCGTGAAAACTGTCTGTTTCACGAAGAAAACACGCTGGAGGCGTGTCGTCAGTGCTCGTCCTACAACATGAAACATGGCAGAAGCCAACAACTAGAAGCTAACAGGAAGTAGCATTGTCCCTGTCCCCCTACTTCCTCTGAAGTCAGGATAGGTCTCAGTAGTTCCGCGTCTGTGATGACATTAAACACGGGCATTATTTTTTCGTTTTAAAACGTTGTTGGATTTTTATTGATTTTGTTTTTTTTATCCTTTAACCGTTTCAGCCTTTATATTTTAAGTTTTTTTTCCTTTATCCAGTGCCGTTTTGACAACTTTAACCGTTTCAGCCTTTATATTTTAAACTGCATCATATGAGATATGTTGTTTCCAGCAGGTGACAGTGTTGCCTTGTTTACGATGTAACGCTGCAACTTGCAGCTTTAACGTTTAAAAAAAAAGTATTTCCTGTTGTTGAAATCTTTTTTTTAGAATCTTGTCAGGGATAGAAACATTTAATATATCCTGCCATGTTGTTCAATAAGTCAAGGAAACCCACTATAATATTATACCAGTTAGTTTATCCTGTAAACAAATTATTTTACAAACATTTCAATTGGGTGGGTTCATGACATTTTTGTGCTTCTGAGAATAAAACTATCTAGAATGTTTTATAATTTTTTATAGGTTTATATCTTGTTGTCTGACAAACAGGGTTGGTGATGGGAATTGGTGTGTCAATAATTTCCTGAGATTTTTCTGCTCCACATTGTTCTTTTTCGGTTGCTGGATCATGTTTGTTTTTACCCCTGTATTTTTGTGTTTTATACTTTTGGTTAAATTTGCCTTGGGCCATTTACACCTCAACTTGTGTAGTTCTCTTAAAGAAATAAACTAAAAAATAATTGAATGAATCCAGGTCACACACCATCTTTATCATGGACCAAAGTGAGGAGAAAGTTTATGCTTATTTTAAGCTGATTCTTGTGAAGGTATTATATATATTTAAAGCTATACAATGTGTTGTTTTAATACATATTAACACATTAAAAATGTGATTTTATCTAACAATAATATGTAGGTTTACTGACCTGTGAAGTGAATAAAACATTTTAGAAGAAATATTCTGCTAGTGTCCCAAAAGAAAAAAAAGGTTATTTTTTAAATTTGTTCGTATTTTATGTTCACAGTGATAAAAATGAATTTCATTGTGATCTTTGGTAAGATTTGAAGATTTAATGCAGGTTTGATCACAAAAAAGTTTTGATTACATTATCAAGTTTTCTAATTATCACAGTTCAAAAATGCTAAATTTTTACTGGGAAACAGCGCCTCCTGTTCTCAGAATAGGCAGGTGCTGTAGACTGTGACTTTGTGGCTGATGTCCTGCAGCAGATCTTTGACCGCCGCCTCCAGCTCCACTAGCAGCTGAGCCTTCAGCTCCAGAGTTTGCTGGTTATCGCTGTATGACTTTTCTAGATCTGAAAAAACAGAGGCAGAGTTTCAAGACCGGAAAGACACTTGTTTAACCAGCAGGACGGCGCCACTCTCCCAGGCCTGTCCAGCTGTGTTCTTGTAATGTGGTTGTGATCTCACAGTGACGTTACCTTTTAGCAGCTGCAGCTTGTCACTGGCCTGTAGTAAAAGAGCTTTGGCTTCCTGTTGCAGAGACTCCGCCCTCTTCTTGGCAGTGGCCACACCTTCAGCCTTCTGATCAATCAGCTGGCCCACGGTGGCGTACTTGTCCTTCACATCTGAATCCAGCTCCTGGTGAGAAGGTCCAGTTAAATAACAGAGCCACACCCGTCGTAGAGGGGCACGCCCACTTCGATCGACACACCCACCTTTGTCACTTCCTCTGCGATCCTCTGGACCACTGCTGCGTCCTCACTGGTCTGTTGGCTGCTCAGAGAAATGTTTTCAGCTTTGTCTCTTAGCAGCGTCACATTCTGCCCCAGCCTCTGCAGCCTCTGGGTGGCGTTAGTCAGCCTTATCTCCGCCTCAGCCGTTTCAGACTTGACCTAAAACAATCAGAGACCTGTCGTGAGGTGACATCACCGCGAACCAGTCGACCCTGGAAGAACACATCCTCCTGACCACAGACAGCAGGTTTCGGTACTGACCACAGACAATAGGGTGTTGGTGTTGTGGATGTCTGCGGTAGCCCTCTGGATGGCGCTGTTGGCAATGTTCTGTGCTTTCTCAGCTTCTTCCAGGGCTTTTTTCACCTTCTCTGCAGATTCCTTCACATTTGCTGCTTCTTCACTGGAAACAGAAACAAAACAGAAAGTCAGGCGTGAGGGCAGGAAGTGAGGGTCGGAGTGATCCGGTCTTGGACTGGGACTGACCTGGCTTGTCGAGCCTGGTCCAGCAGGTTCTCAGCTTTTTGAATGTCATCAGTGCTCTGCTGAAGGATGGACTCCACATCACCGAGTTCTCCAACTTTCTGTCGGATCTCCTCCGTCAGGTTCTGCAGCTGAGCCGGAGTCGTCGGCATCTGCATCTGCAGAACTTCATTGGCCACCAGCTCGACGCTCTCCAGGTCTGCAGCATCCTCTGAAAGCAAAAAACAGGTCTCATGATCGGTCTTTTCTTGTGTCTGGGTTAGGTTTAGGTCACAAACTCTGGGTCTGTGGTTCGAATCCATGAAGAACCAACATACGTGTCAGGAAGTCTCGGATCTGTCCGATGAGGCGTCTGAGCTCCTGGTTGCTCTGGTCCACCCTCTGTTTGGTTCTGTTGGTCTTCATCAGAGCTTCCTGAGCGTTGACTTTAGCTTCATCTGCCTTCAGCTTCATCTCTGAGACCTGGGGAAAAGTCCAAGATCAACGTTTACCCACACTGCACCTGTATCATGGAAGAGAACCTTCATGCTGGCCATCTACCTGTGGTCAGGAAAACCACAGGAAGAACATCGGTACTGAGCCACCGATGGAGGAGAACCGTTCCACTCACCATCTTGGAGAGCTTCTCCACCTCACCCATGGCGTTGATGATTTCCTGTTCCTGTTCCTGAGCCTTCTTCCAGACGTTGTTGGCCATGGTCACCACGCCGTGACAGCCTTCACCTTCACACTCAGACTGACCGTCAGAGGAAGAAGAACCGCACCCGTCCTGGACCCCTGAGGAGGCGCCACAGGTCTGGAGGAAGAGAGTTTCATTCAGAGGAGGATTCATTTTCAGCTGACGTCTGGTTTCTGTGGTTCCAGGTCTACCTTCTGACTGATCTCTGACAGGTCCAGGGTCTGAAGGTCTTCGGCCAACTCGTCCAGTTTCTGAGCATGCTCAGATTGTCTTTTCAGGAAGTCTTCTCTGCTGATGTTCATTTTGTCTTCTGTGAGGCGGCGCAGATCTTCAGATGTCTTCACGTCACTGCCTTCATCCACAGTAGAGGCGTTGGCTCGAGCTTCAGCTTCCTGTGACTGCAGGAAGTACTTAGTGACGCTGGCCGCTGCACCTGAAACAAGACGCCAGGAACTGATCAGCTCAACGCAGAAGACCCCGAAGACCCCGACTTTGGACTGTGACCCCAGACACTGACCTCTGATGTCTGAGTTTTTGATGACCTCCACCTGAGCCAGCAGCTCCTGAACCGTTTGCTCCAGTTTCCGAGTGTCCAACATCACACTGTCCAGATTCTTTTCTGCTGCAGAGTCCTGATCTCCAACTTGGACCATGGCCTCCTCTGTGTTGTTCAACGTCTGGCCCAGGGTTCTAATCTGGTCACTGAGGAGTAAAAAAAAAAAAGGTTTAAGTTGGAAATCTGGTCAGAGAAGATCCAACCACCTCTGGTACCTGAGTGGAGCTCACCTGGTCTCCTGTAGAAGGTTCTGGATCTCAGTGAGCGGCTGTGCAGCCGGGTTCTGGTTCAGGAGGACCTGCAGTTCCCCAACACTCTTCTCTATGGACTCCATGGACTTCTTGTACGGCCCGGCGACCGGTCCAGCTTTCAGGGCGTTGACCTTGTTGACCAATCTGTGCGTTTGGTTGGTCATCTGACCGATGATGTCATCCCAGTCAGCGAAGCACTGGTGGCAGCGGCGACAGTCTGGGAATGTTCCAGAGAAACCACGAGCACAGGTGTCACAGCGCGGTCCGGCCACGCCCTCCACGCACACACACCGACCGTCCGCCTTGTCACACTGCGGCTGGGCGGTGCCCCGCGGGTCACAGTCACAGGCTGCCGAGAAAAAAAAAAAGTTCTTCAGGTCCAAACAGACACAGCAGTGATCCACACGTTAGGTTCTGTAACCCAGTGGTTCCCAAAGGGTGGGGCAACTTCAGGGGTGGTACAGCAGGGCAGGAAGAGTGGAAGTTAAAGGAACCACTGTGAGGGTCTGAGGAACATCTAGACCTCAGCCACCAGCTGTTGAGATTCTCAGAAGAAATTTCAGGAATCTGTGTAATGTGTTGGACTGTGGACAAACTCATGTTTGTAACGTCAATCTCCTGAACGTGTTCTGTGTTTGGGGCCCTGGAGAAGCAGAGGGTCTGGTCTGGTTATCTGTTCTCAAGAAGTGCTGAACTTAGACAGATTTTGAGGCATTTCCTGTGTAATGAAAACAGCTTGGAGTGTGTGAGTGTGTGTGTCTGTGTGTGTGTGTGTGTGTGTGTCAAACATCTGGTTTCCATCAGAAGCTTTAGATCCAGTCTCAGATGTTTTTCTCAGAACAGAGAGTCTTTGTTGTGTCTCACACTCACACACTGTCTTCCAGTAAGTCAAACTGAGACACAGGGCTTCACTGTCAGAGAGCAAAGCATGCTGGGAGTCCAGATTGGTAAATCAGTCTCACCCTGACACTGGACCTCTGGATCGCCCCAGAACAGTTCCCGACACTCGCTGCAGGTTCTTCCTCCAAAGCCTGGATGACAGGAACACTGTCCGCTCACCTGTCAATCAAAGACACACTGCTGACAGCACTCACATCCACAGGTGTGGTCCACAGGTGTGGTCCACAGGTGTGGTCCACAGGTGTGGTTCACACGTACCTGGTCACATGATGAACCAAATGAATGTTTGACATCACAGTCACATGACTGACATCCGGCACCGCTGGCCAGGTTCCAGGTATTGGGAACACATCGTTGGCACTCCTGACCCTCCACATTAGGAAGGCAGGGACATTGTCCGCTGTCACGCTCGCACGCACACTCTCCCGGTGATTGACAGGTGGACGGATCAGTTCCCAGTGTGCTGCACACACACTCTGAGGAGAGAAACAGTTCTGACATCAGTCACAGGTCACCGGTGCACAGATCCTGACCCTTGAACCAACAGTCACTCACTCCTGCAGTCCTGACTCAAGGCGTCGCCGTAGTAACCCAGACGACAGTTCTCACAGGCTCCGCCCTCCGTGTGGTACAGGCACTGCCTACATTCGCCGGTCCGAGAGTCACATGATTCCGGATCGGACACGTCGATGTTGTTGTTGCACTGACACGGACGACACTCCCCACCCACCTGGTCTGGGTTACCGTAATACCCAGGAGAGCACACGTCACAACGACCACCTGACCAATCAGAGACAGGACACGGAAGAGATTGGGATTTAAAGGTAAAGGAATGTAAGGACCACAGACCTGGGGGTCAGAGGTGAAACATCAAAACGGATTTTTCAGGTTGAAGTTTTCAGTTGAAGGACAGAGAGACGGGTTTGGGTTTTTACCTCTGTACCCGGTCTTGCAGACACAGACCACCTGCTCTGAGTCAAAGCTTTGATAACATGTTCCTGCGAACTGCCTTTGGCTGCTGGGACCATCAGGACACATGCAGGGACGACAGTGGTCCCCGGAACCCAGTACGGGGTCACCGTGGTACCCATCGAGACACCTGGAGACAAAGGACACGAAGTCAGGACCACAAAGAATTATCTTCACACAGTGACTGTGGTCGACCGAATCACCTACAGCCGTCCCACCTACAGCTGTCCCACCTACAGCCGTCTCCCCCTCAGCCGGCCCCCCTCCCCCGACCGTCCCCACCTACAGCCATCCCACCTACAGCCGTCCCACCTACAGCTGTACCACCTACAGCTGTCCCCACATACAGCCGTCCCAACCTACAGCCGTCCCAACCTACAGCTGTCCCACCTACAGCTGTACCACCTACAGCCGTCTCACCTACAGTCGTCCCACCTACAGCCGTCCCCACCTACAGCCGTCCCCACCTACACCCGCCCCCCCCTACACCCGCCCCCACCCACCGCCCCC